AGTTGCCTCATTGCCACAATGGAAGCTACGCGGCCTACGCCCCTGAGGATTCCAACACAATCACAATGTGATTTATTTACATTAATACTAAAAAGTATTGCAGATACTTGTACAATACCTACACGTTTGTGCATATAATCAAAATGCATATAGATACATTTTTTAAGTTACTCAATAAACACAGATTACGCTTGTAATTATGCTGATTCTTTTATCCGTTTCCATGTTTAAATTGTTTCACATACACTAAAGCTATTCTAATCGCGAAAAAATATATTCGTTTTTCTCCTTGAAAAATAATTGTCCATAAATTGTTTCAACTTTTGTCAAATTATATCTCCAAGGTCTTTTTCTTTTAAAAGATATCAAAATTCAAAAGTTAAAAAAATAATTTTTGTTATCGCGTGAAACCACCTTTGAAAAATTAAATCTATCGCTTATATCTCATGAAAAACAAATCTGAGCATTTTTTTCCACAACAAAGTACTTATACCTGTACACGGACAACATTTTACCCTTTGTTACTAAACTTCCATGAAAAAATATCTGATTTTCCTTAAATTAGGCTTAGTTCTTGAAATATGCATATTAATATAAAAATTACTATAGATTATATTCGAATACTTCCTTCAGTTTTAAAAAATATATTATGACTTCTATGGCTTCTACTAAAGGAAGAAAATACTCGTGTTTGAATTATCTTCATAATTAGATAAAATTTAATTTAATTTAATTTAATTTTTTTTTTCAAAGGTGACTTCACAACAGATCTTAACTTCCCGTCAGGAAGTTTTACATCTTTGTAAGGTGCAGTCATGCCACTCAGAATATCACTTGCTTCTATTCTGTAGTAAGAGACTGTCCTTTGCTTATTAGCCTCTTCTAAAAGCACTTAGATTAACATTATCTAAAGTACTGTCACGGAATCCACTGAACTCTAATCTTTGCTTTTTGACAGCTTTAAATATTTTTTTCCCATTATTCCTAAAATAATAATTACAATATACATGTACATGTATTTATCATTCATCAATTTAGAACTCTTTAGTTTAAGCTACATTATTATCAAGGTACTAAATGGTTTCGTTATAAGCGGCTTTAAGAAAGACCGAAGACGTATTTCTATACATTCCCTGAAAGTGTTCTTTTGTTCGAAAGTCCGCAGTCCGTAGTACGGTGTCAGGTGTATGAGATTCCGAAAATGTTCATTAGGTCACATTCATAAGGAGTTTCCATTCATTGTGTACTACAAAGATCAAAGTTATATCAAGAGGTCAAAGGTCAAATATTGTGACGTAATCTACTAAATCGTTTAGTGTTTTGCCATTGATTTTTTTTTAATTGCAAAGACATCTGAAACCACTGGTCAATTTTCTTTATTTTTACACATTTTATTCTAAGACCCATTTGATTTATTCTTTTTTTTTGTAAAAATTTAATAATACATTTTCCCCTAAGAAAACTTAAACTGTCGGATATTTTTTACATGTGAACTTTCCATTCCGATACTATGTGAGTTCTATTTTTACTTAATATTTTACTAAAATTTTCCAGTAGTAATATGACTTTCTGATTTAAAGTAACAAGAAGGTCATCTTTATTAAAAGTAATACACTAAATTGCAATAGATCAATACGTAATATCGCGACTACCAATGAGTACCTCGCAGTTATCTAACTTACTACCGCTCTTTTGCGGGGGAGTCGAGAATAGTGTACATTTCTGGGGGCAAATGACATTGTTTACAGTAGTTACAATCGAATGATTCGAACAATTTAATGCCGAAATCACGATGTTTTGCCAGATATTGAACTTCAAATAGTAGATCGTCAAGTAAGGCAAGCTAAGAATATTTTATCTGCTTAAAAATGTGACGATTTTCAATGAAAATTTAGGAGAAGAGTCCGCTTAATTAAAGATATCGTTAAAAATGTGACAATTTAGAATTGGCTCCTCTCAAAAATATATTAGGCTGGTTCAGGGATTGTTTAGCGAGGTATTCTACCAGGATTTTTTACTTATCTGTCCTTATGAATGCTACAATGATCGATCTTGCATTGTATTGAATAGCACATTGCCCCCACCCAACAGACGATTCCTACCTCCTTCGCGAAAGAGTTCCGCTAAGTTAAGTAATCGCGATATCAAGTATTGATAATTCTACAATAAAATCATTCTCAAGTTGAATGTCTGATTTTCTTCTTATATGGGTTTGATAGGCTATCTCAGACTATCGGGGCAAAAAATGTGTGGTTGATTTTTTTTTCATATCTTATATAAAGAGAGATATTGTATCCACGAACAAAATATCAGTTTTAGAAAAATTAAATTTGAGAAAAAAGAATGGGTGGACTTAACTGGCCAGGAAAAATCCCGTAAATTTAAGTTCCATAAAATGTTAATTTTTTTCCATCGTATAAACCTCCGGTATCTTAACTGTGTAGTTATGCGAATTTAAAAGGCTCTTTTCAAGGTAAACTAAATAAATATCGAAGGCATGGTGCCTGAAGATTTCTTGAATATCAATTGATAATCAGGGTCATGCATTTTTCATCGTCTGAATACATAGTCAGCGCATGTTTGTTGGCTGTTCTTAAGAAAAATGTAGTTGTATTTTGAACAAAATAATGTGATATTAAAAGGAGAAGAGCCGACAAACGTGCGCTCACACTTAATTTAACAAAAAAAAAAAATCTTCAAAACAAACTTCTCGCTTCCATTGTTACGACTTCGATTGACCTGTTAAATATAACAATTCATAACGTGATATCCACCTGCGAGGGTACTCGTGGAAACAGTTACATTGTATTCTTCAACCTGACCTAGATGTAAATCACTATGTCTGGTGCTGTTTACAGAATTTAACACATTAAATGTTGTTTAATTTTGCGTGTCCTCACGTTGTTTTTTAATAATCATAATGACATCGCTGTGCAATATGCCAAACACGTATTCGAATTTCTAGAGAGAGAGAGATGGAGAGAGAGAAATGTTAACAATGACACCGATCGATAGCCCCGCCTCCTATTAATATTGATAGCGTGACCTAAAAGCCACCCCGGGTACATGTCATATTCCGGAAGACGACACTAATGTATCGTTGTTTCAATTTTGATTCATGGCAACAAGGCATTGCTTTTGTACATATGGTCTAGTTAATATAACCAAGAATATGTCGTTCTTTCTAGTGTTTGTAATATATTTTGGATTCACTTTATTTTAAACTTGTTAGAGTAGTCGCAGAAAGATCCAAAAATAGGGCGTTAAGTCCACCCGTTCTTTGTCCTTTCGATCTATCTATTGTGTTCTACCTTATCTAAAATTAAGTAAAGTCTACAAATTTCTCCGAATCTTTCCATTAATCCATGGTATAAAATCAATTGCATCTAATTTTTAGGAATCAACCAATTTTCAAGTAATAACATTAAATAAGATGACAAGATATATTTTAACTACTTTAAACCGAAAAAAATAGTTGTGACAAAAATCATTGAGGGGAGGTATCTGTTCTGAAAAACTTCCTTTTTCATTTAAAACATTTCTGCCCCCATCCCTTCTTCCTAACAGAATTTATATTCATATACGCATGACAAAAACCGATATACCTAAAAGTCTACCGTAAAGCTGAAAATACCTGCCGTACGCACGTATATAAATCATTATAGCGTACTTACTGACGTACCTTAAGTTTATTGAAAATTTATTCAATTGTGCCCGTTCATTTTGTTGTTTTAGATTAATTTATTGATTGTATGAGATAGAAATAACATTAAATGCATGCAATCAAACTTGTCAGTTTACACTCCGCGTTCTCAGAATAACCCGCGACTGAAAAAAGTACATTTATAGTTCTTTCGAAATTTAACATCATGAATAAGTATTTTAGTAAGTCGAATAAAGTACAGAGAAAATTGAAATTTTTGATTTCAAAAAAATCAATAGTTACAATGTAACTGCTAAAATGACAAGATGAGTTATTTTCTTTCACTGAAAAATGTTACAGTAGATTCTAAAATAAAATAATAATGTGGGATATTCTATACAAGATACATTCAAACAAACAACTTTATATCTGTACGGTTCTCCTTGCACTTATTTCTTTCTGTCTTGTTTAATTATCAAATTCTTTTCAAGATTTGAAATTTTAACTTAATTTTATCCTTTTAATTTCACTTTTTATCGAAATTGGATGATATACTAAGGGTAAGAGCCATCTTTTGCATAAAATGGCCCTGTACTTATTTCAAATAATTAACTTTCACCCTCTTTCCCATTTTATGTGTAAAAATAAAGTAGACACTTGTTGCTTTCATTTTCTGTAATAACATTTCGTTTTGAGAATCCAGATAATGGAAAACAGGTTTGAGAAATTGCAATGTTCTTAAGATTTGCAAAAAACCTCCGTTTTTGACCTTCAGCAAAGAATTAAAATATGAGCACAGCCCACGATCCAAAAAATAAAGCATGTTTTTTTGATTTTCAGAAAGATCGTTTTCATTATGTATTTGCATATATTGGATCAGAGGTTGTGCTCTATATAAAATATTGAAAAATATGCTGCAACTTTAGGTCATTTTAAAGGAATTTACACGATAAGAGAAAAATGACGCATTTTATGACGTCATAATGCATTGACTAGATGGAAATTACGTCACGATTATTAGATACTTGGACACCAACACTCCAAGTGATAAATACTGCATTTGCAACCTAAACTGATCGGTTTTGATTTTTCGGAAATTCTCAGGGCCAAAAAAGACCCAACGTGGCTTTTGCTCTTTATGGGATTCTTGTTTGTTTTAACTTGATAAATTGTATCATTGAAATGATTCAGTAACCATTTAGACATTCTAGAACCACCGAAGAGTCATTGATTCTGAATACATGCCTTGATCCGTTACAGATTGCTTAACCGATACGCCTTTAAAAATTAAATGACTCATTTTGTTTACTGTGTTGTTGAATATGCATTTATTATGGAAAAACATGTGTTTTCAAAGGCAAACGGAAGAAATGGATCTGTTACTTCCAAACCTGAAACAAATTTTGACGGGAATACTTGTTACAGCCATTGCAGGAGGACTATGTAATTATATGCTTCTCTTCCCTACTCTCTAAAAGAAATTGTTTATATCTGAACATTCATAATGAGAAAATTATATGCAAGATAGTTAAGATTTGAATTCAGTTGCTCAAATATAGAATGTCTTTCTTGGTTTTTTTTTCTTTTTTGGTATAAGTATTTATATTACATTTTTTTGTATTTTGCAGTTTATATGTTATGTAGGAAATGCAAAACTGGATCCAAAGAAGGTACTTATGACAAATACAGTGAAATACTCTGTAATACTCTAGATAGACTCTAGACTCTAGACCACTCGAATTACAAATAGAAAAATGGATATCAAATCATTAAATTCATATAAATTTATTTTCAAATGCAGTTTATTGAGGGGTCGTTTGAGGTCTTTCATTTATAACACAGTATCACACAATTATAATAGACTACTATTTTCACACTGGATTGTCTACAAACTTTTTTATAATTACAATGAGGCCAAAAGGAACATAATAGGGACATGTAGTACCGTAATTTAAACAAAAGACTTTTCAGATTTAAACACAACAATTCATCACGATAAATTAAAATCCAGACTTTTTGATATTGACAGCTGCTTTTTTCCATAAAAATGATACTCGTAAATTAACCATTTTGTCATGTGACATTTATAAAAATTATTTGTTAAAAACATGCTGATTTTACACAAAAGTACCATGAAAATGACTTCAAAAAGATGCTTGATGTTCTGATTGACAATATCTGTGTGGTTTTTGGAGACCAGGTCCTCCAATGATCTATTTGAATTTCCATGGGTACAAATTGTCTCCCGTTGATAAGCAGAACTATTTTTGTACATGTATTTTATGAAGCAAAATTTCTTCAAAATTTATATGTGAGAAGAAAAAAAACTCATACAATGTATTGCTGCCTTTAACTCGACATTTACATATATCAGCGACGTATTTTCATTTAAAAGTGGTAATTCTTACGTCGATACAATATATATTAGGCTTGAGTTTAAAGATACGTCAGAGTCTGACTCATTTGTCTCATATTTGGATATTGTACTTGAAAAAATGTTAATATTAATCTTTCAACCAAGCTATATGAAAAAAAAATGATGACTATAGCTTCATAATTATCAACTTCCCGTTATTTTGCAGCAATATACCAATTTACCTGCCGAAGGAATTTGTATATCTTATTTGATTCGATACACGAAAGTATGTTCTACGTATGATCAATTTCCAAAACGACGTAAATTATTGACAAACTAGTTGATGTTAAAGAATATAAGCAGTCTCGTTTAATGTCTTTGAGTGAGTTTTATGGTCGATACAATGACATTGTCAGCAAATAAAATTAATCATTAAGTCAAATGCTGACTGACGTTTTTCATACGTATTTTTAGTCCATTATGACGGACTTTCTGATATTTCTGTATGATGAAAGGGAGCACAGGGCAGATTTGATCGGACTTTTTAGACTAAATAATGTTTATTATCTCCATATGTTTTACTCTCAGACTTGAATGACACAAAATCCGTTTGTTCGTTTGTTTTTCATTATTATTTGCTCTTTTTTGAGAATAAAATTGCTAACAGATTTTATTCATGTGTACGTTTTGTAACAGTTCTATTATGAGAAAAAAATTAATATATTAAGTAAAACTCAGTTATATAACTAATATAATGAAATTTGTTTTTCCTTAATTACTTGATAGAATAAAATGTTTCCTTTTGTAGTCAAAATATTGAGTATTCATGATGATGCAGACAAACTACCCGATCATCTGGAATGCCTTAAATCTCTTATCAAACGTGAAATAAAACGCAAAGTCGAATGGGAGAAAAAAATAAAAAAAGGACGGAAATACTTGCTACCTTGCAACATTTCAAGTCGGGTATCTCATGATGTTCACCATGCATTTAAACAACTAAATTTACAAGGTAAATCACAAATTATCCACTTTATTATATATACATCATAACAAACCTCACAAAAAAGTGAAGCCCAAGTTCACTTCCCGGGTTCGTGTTCAGAAATTGTATGAATGCATTGAGTGCGCTCCGGGTGGAACTTTGCCCCGTGTTCGCTCGGGATCAGCTCTGAGTCCGCTTGAGCTACATATAACCTGGCGTTTACTTTCGGGATGGCTAAACGAACTCAAGCATGAAGTGGATTCTGTTTTTCTTTGCTTTCTTTTACATTGTGTCCAGTCTGTACTGTACTCTGTAGATTAGTTGTGTGAAGGAGATTAAAGAAACTATATCTTAATTAAGTTTTTATGCTTTAATTTCTTTTATATATTTGTTTTATACCCATGCATTCTCGTACTCACTATTTTTGTCCCGAAATAATACATTAAATTTTTAATTACAAATTATCAGAAATATGTTACAAATTTACAAACGTTTTTTTTTTTCTTGTCGTCAATATCCAATCTATAAATTAAAGCTAGTTTTGTAAAATGAAATATTTAGTTACCATAATAGTGAAATAAACATATTTTGTACCAGATAAAAATAAACAAAGATGTCTGTGGTACCTTGAGAACTATTATATCTTACACAATACTGGTAACTATATAATTGTAACTTCAGTGAGGATAACTATAAAAGTATACAAAAACTACAAGGTCTTCAGTCTTTGTATTCAGGGTTAAGTCTCCTTGATTCGGTCCACTTAATTACAGTTAATTCTCGATAAACCGCCACGTTTTGTGATTTAGAAATCATGGCGGTATAACGAATTTGGCGATGAATTGAATTTCCCATCTTTTAGGAAACAAGAAGTAGAGTTACCGTTCTTAGAAATACCATAAAGCGTTTCTATTCTTATAATTGCATGTACATGTATATAAAATATATTTCTAAATTTTAAAATACTTCAAGTATTTTTTTATGTACATTTTTTTGAAAACAAAATGTGCAGTTATGAAATAAAGGCAAGTACATGTGTATCTATGTACATGTAAATCGGCACGTCTTATATTGAAAAAAAAAACGCTGGGTCGATCGTCGTGATATATTGCTGACAGTATGTAAAATGGTTTCTTGAAGAAATTTACTGTTTTTGACATCATTGTTAGTGAAACTTTCACAATTTATACCGTATAATTATTTTTAGGCAAACTTTGCATTGTTTAAAGCAGAGATCATCAAAATAATATTGTATTTGGCGTACTTTCACAACTACCCCTTTAGTGGCGAAGCCGTGACTAAATGATTTTTTAAACAAAACAACAGAACAACATCATTGTAACAGTTCATATTAAAATCATTTGTTCATTGAATTCTATCTAATTATTTAATTGCGTATACCTTGTCTGGCTTTGCATGCTTTACAACAGGGATAGCGTCAACCAATTAGCCGCGCTTCACTGACCGCATGCACCTGTGGCGGTATATCGAGATAATTGACACTTAAAAATGGACGTTTGTTTTGAAAACAGGGTGGCGGATGGCGGTATGCGAATTTGGCGTTACAAAGAGAATTTTATATAGCAGGAAAAACGTTCTTGGGAAATCATGGCGGTATTGCGAAAATGGCGATGAATCGAATGGCGATAATTCGTGAATTGACTGTACTTGTTCCTTATAGAGCAAACAAAGTACTAGTGTTATTTCTAAAGGATGAGAAAATGTACATTGAATTGACAAATGATACCAAAATTCGTAATTATATACATGTAGTACGAGTACAAAGATTAAGTTTGACCAGATAATTCTTAAGCGTTTATTATTCTTTCATAATAAAGTCCTAAATAGTAATAAAAAGTTGTGTAGATTTATAAAGTTTGCTTCATAAAAATTTGAGTTAAATTAAGAGAAACTCAAACATTCTTGGTATTTCAAAAATGTCTTTCTTTTTCACTTGGTGTCATTTGCATTGCTTAGAACCAATACAATCCCAAACTGTATATCAATCCTGGAATCTTTTTGCACATCCTATCAATTTATGTAGTTTTTGGTTTCCTTGTCTAGCTATGATATGTGTAGCAAAGATTAGATTTTTTTAATTTATAGGAGTTGCATATCTTTTAAAATTTTTCTTTTTTATCACATGGGAGTACTCAATAAATGGATATTCTAAATATCAAATACTGTTGAATCACCATTGTTCTTTTAAAACCGATGTTCGCGGTCTCATGGGTCACCCTTACTCACCAATGTTTATTTGTTAACATATTAATTCACGTAAGGACAGACAATACAAGCATTTTTTTTTCTTTGGAGGTGACTTGATATCATGTCATAAGTTTAAAAGAATGGATAATTCGTATTTTTCTCTTCTCCTGAGAACTGGAAAATGGAAATAGCCTTGGATAATATTAGAAATATTTCCTGATTATTACAAGGAGCACACGGCGGGTGTGACCGGTTGGCAGGGGATGCTCACTCCTCAATGGCACCTGATTCCACCTCTGATGTTTCGGGGGTCCGTGTTTGCTCTGCTCTTATTTTGTATTATTTTATGGACTTTGAGATTGTATACTGTTCGTTATCTCCATATCCATCTTCAATAAAATTACAAATATGGACAAAACATACTGGGTAAACGTTTACAGGTGAAAAGAAATTTCAGAATATGTTATCTTTGTGCTAGAAGTGTTATATAAACTTTAGAAAAAATATATGAAGTCAGGTAAATTTTATTAGGAAAAGCAAAATGGTAAAAATCAGCCCATATGATATTGCTGATTTTTGTCATTTTGCTTTTCCTTAAAAATTTGTTTGTCCTTAATCATCGGTATTTACGAGTAACTCTCGAAATACGTCCAAACGAACAGATAGAATGTTGCTTACCAACAAACACCCCCCCCCCCCGAATTAAAATGATTCCACAGTAATAGTTTAATTGTACCCCTGAGGTCATGATGTAAGAGGAAAGAACATTTCAAGCTCTAACAACTGAAGTTGTTCAAGTACTGAATATTTGTTTGACTGTTCAATGCTCTTTTTTTCTCTAAAGATACCGCATAAGTGGTAATTTTACCAAGACGCAAATTGAGCTAGAAGCAAACTTATCGACTGTTCTTTTAAAATGGATGTAATACACTGTATATTTAGCAAAATGCAATTTAAGCGTTTTTAAAATACTGAAAAAGCTATTACAAATTAAACACGATTAATTTTTTATTATTTTTGTGGTCGAGAATCAAGAACTTTTACCGTCAAAATATACTTTTAGATACTTTTAATAAAACTACCTCTGGTTCTCTTGCAAGAAGATTTAAGACTTATTTGGATAAACTTATCATTCCTGATCAAACAGGTTTTATTTCTAACATATATATGGGAAAAACACACGGCTAATCTATTATATAATGCAGTATACTGAAGAAAAAGGAATTCATGTTCTATTACTACGTATTAATTTTGAAAACACATTCGATACTGTTTATAAATTAAAGGCATTTTGATTTAATTGAAGGTGACCGATAAAGGTAGCATGTATAGTTGTACAAATAAAAGCAAAATAAAAAGTAAAATTATATTAATATTTTTATTTTAAGGGGGCATTTGAGACACTTATCATATGTTGTTCTTTGTAAAAAACCTTAACTTATTTTCAGTTTGGATCTGATATACACAAATAGATAGGATTATTCTTATTATTTATTTATAAAGAAAGAAAATCCTAATTGAAAAAAAAAGGGAACTGAAAATGCCCCTTTGTCAAGGATGCAATACAATATACATTTTTATAGAAAAAGAATAATAAGTAGAGCAAAGTTTGTTGCAAAGCAACGATTAGGTCTTCCGTCCTGTTTGACCGGAGGTAACGAAGTAACGTTTCCTATTTAAAAAAAAAGAGTAATGACGTCTCCTATGATTTCAATTTTCCATTTTTATCCATGTATATCCATGTTTATTTTTGAAGAAGTAAGCTATTTTCTGCTACTTCCGGAAGTGCTATATACATTTTTTACTACTTCCGGTTTGACCGGAAGTGACGTATTTTGACGATTTTAATAGATTTTACTTAACATTTTGAACAACTTTGTTTTTTTGATGTATTACACATCCTCAATACTTTTTAAGGATTCAAGAAAAGGAAATTTTGGCCCCTCTAGATTCCTTATTTTGAGGGTCAGTCCTTCTTTGGAGATTTCATTTTAAATTTCTCAAAATTCCTTACAATTTTTGTTCTATATGTTTTTACAAAATAATTCTAAATAAAAAGATATCGTAGAAAAGGTGTTAGAAATTTTAAAATTCACATTAGAACTATTTTCGGGCCATAGCGAGCGTCGGTGCTTCGTATTTTCGGTGACAATGATATACTCAATTCACTTTTCCAAAGGTTTCTCTGTCATCACTGAAAATTTTATACTTCTACAGTACCGACCAGACCAAACCTGACACCAAAATAGTCCCAGAAAGCAATCCCCGGGCCTGCTTTGGGACCGCTGTGGGACTGCTCTGGGACCGCTATGGGACTGCTATAGAAAGCAGACTCAGCAGTCCAAGCTGTCCCTGTGACTGCTTTCAGGGACTGTTTTGTTTACTCATGTGTAAAGAGGATCTGAGTGACATGATAGCTCCGCTCCCTTGTGTATTCTGAATATGCAGGCTCCCTGTTATTATGTTTACTTGCAGCAGAGAGGAGTTTAAACTACTATTGTATTAAAAAAAGCAGAGATCGCTTACAATATTTTTATAATTTGAGATTACATGTATTATAGTTATTTAATGATTTTAAGGACTGCTTATATTCAAAATGTATAGAATATTTAAAAAAAAAATAAAGTTGTTAAAGAAGGAAGTCAGGAAAAGATTTTTTTTCTAAAATAAACTACATGCTCATGAAAAAAAAAATCTACATGTAGGTTTATTTTGTTATTTAATCTAAAATTAAATGCTCAAAATTTGCAGATGAATTAGATTTTAATTTATAAACAAGTTATTAAAAGAGAATATTTATTTAAGGAAAAAATAGATAAATAAATAAATAAACTGTTACAGTTGAAAATATCGGGAATTGTAATTTATTTCTTTTTTTGCTTTGCTTGTGTTTACCTGGCCGATAAAGTGTACAAAAAATAATACAATGTATAAACATCTGCGGTTTCAATCGCCTTTTGGCAGAAAATAAATCATGCAATTTTTTTTTGCATTAGTTACACGTATCAGTGTTACAAATCATTGAGTATGCTGCTCAATTAACTTAATTTCAATCTGTAAAATAAAATGTAATTCAAAAAATAGAAAAAAAGATAAATGAAATGTGTATTAAATTTTTTTCAAGATAAATCAATTTTAAACATCCAAGAATTCTATCCTGGTCACTAATACAATTTACAAATTAAACACATAAAACTGACAATAATTTTAATTAAAACATGTCAGTAAAATAATCATGACTGAAAAATATTACTTGGCAAAATTAACAACAAATTTTTCAAAACCTAAATACTTAAGAAAATGCCTTTTCAAATGCCTTGATCTATAATGATAAGATATATTCAAAACTATATTCCGGTGGAATATAATCTTTTTAATTTTAATTTTCTGTATGAAAAATAAATATGGGAACCAGTATCAATCACCCCCCCCCAAGATAATTGTGATTAAATATTCATGTTTAGTGTAATTTATTTATGTAGGTGTGTAAGCTTTCTTCCTTCAATAAATATTATTTCGAATTGTTTTTATGCGCGTACTGCTCATGCATGTAAATGACCTTCGCATAGTAGGGAATCCTGGCATACTGCTCAGAAGAAATTCAGCTGCATTTTATAGTTCCATTGTTTATTGGAAATCTCATTTCTGACTGAGCTCCACACATTAAATTAATAAACCCTGCCCACTGGGACTGCTAGGACTGCTTTCTGAGACCGCTGGGACTGCTGGGACCGCTCTGGGACTGCTGTGGAACCGCTGAAGGACTGCTCTGGGACCGCCTCGGGACTGCTTTAGCAGTCCCAGAAAGCAGTCCCCGGGACTGCTCTGGGACTGCTTTGTGTTAGGTTGGGTCCGGTCGCTACTGTATATTCAAAGGATTTTGAGAACATTGCCGGACTAAAAATGACGCTCTAAAAATGTCAAAATCGCGAAAATATGCGAACCAGAAATGACGTCATAAAAAAACATGTTCTATCAGACCTGAAAGTTCCATGAAAATCCATCGAGCCGTTTCCGATTACTTGCATGATCAAAAACGGTAAGGAAAAAATAAGAAGAAAAATAGTAGAAAAGAAACCTAAGAAAAACAATAAGGTCTCCCACTGATGACGAAAGACCTTAATCACTTGTTTTACAATAGTGTTTTTTATTATCTTTTATTCGAATAAAAAATAATGAAAACACCATAGAAATCAAAGGTATATGTTGTTTGACGTGACATCAAGGTGTGCATAATTTTTCTGTAAACTGTTGTATATTATACGCATTATTAATTTTTAATAATCTGTCGCATTCTCTCAAGTTTTGTTAACTGAAATTCAAGTTAAATATATGTTGAAAGTAACCCCACGAAAACAAGATACTACACTTGTCTCATTTGATTAAACTAAGTACATGAATACGTGTCTTTGTAACCTCTTTGTTATACAATGTATTCTTTGAATGTGCCAATAATAAAATAAAATCATCATATAGTTACAGAAAAAGGATTGGAGAAGCAGATTTTACTTGTTCCCATGCACAGAACTGAAAGCGAGAAGCCCCATATCACGGAAACAAAAATTGGCGCTGATGATTCAGATCTGAATAAGTTTAAACGTGTTGATATAATGTATAAGGGACGCTATACTGTTGTTAATGGTACCAGACTTGTTGGAGAAGGCATTAAAAACTTCTTAGCTAACAGATAACTTTGTGGTGTTGCTGGTTAAGCCTATAATGCAGCTTGCATTTTTTGATGGAACCATAATATACTACAGACTTGAACAATAACATGGTGCAAAAAATGAGCTCTGTGAAGTATATATCCATAAATCATTAACAAATTATGAACGTATTTTTACATCATTGTTGCTTGATTTCATATACTCAATGTGTTAAAAAGTATTGTTTAACATATAAAAATATTTTTTATAGTGATCGTATATTTTGCTTGCAGTCATTTTTCATCTGTTCAGACTGTAGAAATTCTAATTATCATAATTAGAATAGAATATAATGAAGAAGGTACGGTTTGGGCTTATTTTTGCCCTTAAAAAACAATGCTCTTAAAAAGCTATAAAAATGCTTGTAACATAAGTTGAATAAATCTTAAAATGACTCATTTCTTTGCTTATTCTCTTTTAGATTACCACAGCCCTAGTCCATTTCATTTTTACATATATTTTTCAAAATGCGTTGGACATCACATGTCGTATTTTTTAAATACGTTAAATAATGACCAATCATCAGATGTGTTGAATACTATTTTAAGTTCTATATTGAAAGTTTTATACTTAAATGGGAAAAAAGTTTTGAATTTAATTTCGATCGTTTTAATTTATTTCAAATCATTGGATCCGCATTCCAAGCTGTACAAAATCTGCGATATTTTATCACTTAAATTTTACGTAAGTAAACAAAAGGGCCGCCTTGCCGTAATTTTCAATTTAATTTTAGTTGTTACACGTCATTTGATTGGATAAAATATTTGTTAGACTCCAAAGTGCGATGCGCAGCACAGTTAAATTACAAATGAAAATATCGTCGATTTTTTAAGATAAAAAATACATACTTCACTGGATGGGCGATTCTTTTTAGGACTTCACTGATATAAAAATTATGTAATGTGGTTTAAATGTACATGTCGAGGACATTTAGTTTTTTTTATTTAGACTTGTCACTTGATGTCGACGTCACATTATTTAATCAATTATACTTGCAGTTTAAAGGTCATCTATAAATTCCAATATTGTAAGGGCATAATCAAATTAAAAATCTCAGTTTAATTTATTTTCCTTTTCAAGACTATATGTAGTTTGTTAAAAGTGCTGCGAACCTAATATACGAGGGGCATTTCAAAAGTCCTGAGAACTGTTTAATACAAAATTAACCGTTTTACGGAAATTATTGAGTTTGATATCATTGGAAAGATATGAAAAATAAACACATATTGTGACGTCACTTTTTGATTTTTATGACGTAATATCTCCGAAAATGACGTCAGAATATAGAATGTTTAGCATACTGAAAACTCGCGCTTTTATGTACATGGCACAATTTTAAAAGTGCTGCCAAAATCTTATTTGAAAATATATTTCACAGAAAATTTTTATTTGCAAAGAAGTAGAGTAGGACTATGGTACTGTTTATCAACAATACAATATTTCATTGTTTGGTTTGTTTCCTAGCGCGGTTTCTGTCCGGTTGTGCTATCATCGACATTCATCCAAGATTTTAAGTTACATAATACGACTGGATTTTCGGTCTTTTATACACGTCTCTATTGTATGAAATAAAACAATTTCTGTATAAAACTAAAGTATATTAATGCAGTTTTCAACAAATATATTTTGAGTAACAGTACTCTTACCGTTTACAAATAAAATGCACAAAAGTCTTGCCCTTGACTTTTTTCTGTGCGTAATTGTTCTCATTAATTCAACTTCGGCGCCCCAAAACTCAGTACTGCTTTTGACTTTTGACTCCAAAAAAGGTTTATCAGTTACATAGACATAAAAAAAATCTTATTTAATTTCCATGAATTAATTTTTGCGAATATGTGGAGGTACGGCGGGGTTACAACCTCGCCCATGCTGAAGTATGACGTCATTTTCGGAGTTATTACGCCATAAAAATTATAAAGTAACGTCACAGTATGTGTGTATTTTTCTGTTCTTTCCAATGATATCAAACTCAAAAATTTCCGTTAAACGGTTAATTTTTTATTAAACAGTTCTCAGGACTTCAGAAATGCCCCTCGTATAGATTCCCTTTTTAATTGCTAAAATTTAATTTATTGGACGGCAGGTTAAATATTTTGCTGGTCAACTACATTAATTTATTAGTTTGATTTATTTATTCAATTTATTCATTTAAAATTATTTGCAAGATTTCATTTACATTGAGAGTATGCCCTTGCAATAAATCGATTTATTAGGGTTCTTCCTTTACTTTTTAGATGAATCTGTATACAAACACACAACAGTATCACTTGTCTGGAGAATGTACGGGAAATTTATTAATAAAATACCTTTTCATTGTAAAAGATGTGACTTGGTCAGCCCCTCATTGTGTACAAAATGCGTCATTGTTTGCGAGATGACGTCACATTGACAAGTGCATTGCGATCGACGCATCATTTATATACTGTTGTGTGGGATTTAACAAACGACAAACCTGCATATAATAGTAAAATTGTATATAGTGCACAGCTATCCAGCTGTTCGAATTAGCAAATAATTTCCTTTTGTGGTATTTTGAAGACCTTACACTGTAAAAAAATGTACTTAGGAAATAAACACTACCATTACATGTGTATATCTAAACATGTTAAATATTATGTTTAATATCTAAACAATTCGGTCTAAATATTTGATGCTTAAACACGTTTAGAATTAAACACGTGTTTCATTCTTCATCAATGAAATACGGAGTTGTCTTCCCGAAATGATCGAGATATACATGAAGTCAAACATGAATTAGCGCGGTTGTCGAACAAAGAAAATCACAACATTAAGAGAAAACAGTTTTTCCTATAAAAATGATAGAAATTCAAGATACAACTATTGCAGAAAAAGTGAAATACACGAGGGATGCCTCTTGAAAACTGTGATTAAGAAGGTTTGTATGCTTTTATTTACACAAATTGAGCTTGATGAAAGAGGTAAACAATGTCAGAAGTACTTGTTTATCGTACACGTAGGATCTTGCATTCTTTACTGAATTACTGAAAAGATTCAATATTCATGTACACCATTATTAAATATTTGCATATCCACTGCTCTCTCCCACTATGAATATGTAGTCATCAACTGCGTTCATAAGACTATAGACGCAACTGCTTCTACTGTGAGTGCAATTGCCCTATCAAATTCGTGTAGAACAAGCTCTTCTACACTGATAATACGTGTTGAGAAGTACATATATGAAATGTTTCATACAAGGAATAAATATAAGTGTTTAATAATATTCTTAAAAAAAAGAAATTCAGATATTTAAATTTCTGATTTATATATTCAAAAATTCAATTTTAGTCAATATCTTTAATTGTATACTAAAACTTTTTAAAATTATAGAGAACTGCCATATTTCTATTTTTTCGTATCATGCATATTTGTACAAAGAACGATAACTCTTCATACTTGGGTAATAAAACTCAAAACGAGAAAATTTCTTTAACTAGTATATCTACTTCAAGAATGATTTCAACTATTAAAAATAAATATAGAAAAACAAAAAAAATCATAGAAAAGCATTTTAGAGTAATAATCATTATAAAAGCATTCTCATTTTTCATGATAGTTTTAAATTATTGATTTTTGTCAGGGGGTTTCAATAACGTAGATCGATGACGTCACAACTGCATCAAAATGAAAATTAAGAGAATGTGATGACGGTGCTGCTTTTATCCAGATAACTGTGTTTGAGAGGGAAATACTTTATAAATTGTTTGTAATTTATTAGAGAAAAGGATCATTGATCAGGTGTACTGATTTTAAAGCCACATGTTTTTCATTACTAAAGACAAGAAGCCGCGTCCTTATGTTAGTCAGGATTTTCTCTGATATTCTTGAAAAAATCAAAGAATGCAAATATAAGTAATAAACAACGATTACTCAGTGAACATGGCATTATGAATAGCAATAGCTCTGCTGGCATATTTTCCATGATGCGCTAGGGCGCATCATGGAATATGCCAGCAGAGCAATTGCTATTCATAACGCCATGTTCACTGAAGAACGTTGTTTATTTCTTAATTGATACAGTTTTACTATTCATAATAAGGTTATAAACTAATGGATGTTATTGGACGATAAATTTTAACAAACAGCACATAATTGAACACGTATATCTTATATCATATTTGAGATAAAAGTAGTGTGTTGTACAATCAAATAAAGTACAAGTTACATTTTACCTTGTACCAATGATCAAACCCAGTGACTCTTTGGCCCCTAGCCTTTCTGCTTGAAGTTTATGTTTTCTCTGTGTGGTTAAAAGTCTTTTTTTCAACTTCTCCATCATTTTCTCTATCATAAATAAAAAAAAACTATTATTAACTGGGTTTCATGTAAAAGCATACTATCTATTGTATCCAAGCTTTCTTTGTGTGTTGAAGACACATACAACACGCTACTTGTATCTAAATAATAATATAAAAATATATGTACATATATATTACTGCTCCCATTAAGAAAGAGGATTTCCTATTCGTGTCCTCCGTTTTGAATTCAAAATGAAAAATGAAGACAATGTCAGAAATCAGCATTTTTTTTTTTATTCATTGTCTTTATTGACTACCCTATCAATTGGTGAGATCACCAATTTTTAGGTTAAAACAGACCAATTATGTATCGGTTTTGTAGATTAATAGTCAAAGAATTGTTGAATGCACCAATAATAATTATTTAATATTGATCTTGGTGGTTCCACCGAGAAAACAAGAGAGACTTTTACACACATGTAATATATTGAATAATTATATTTTTTAAAAAATTTATGCTAAAACTGTGAGACATTTGTCAAATCAATATGGAAACATTTCATTAAAGTGTATATTGATGCAGATTAAGCGGCATCAAAGTGACCTTAAAGTGGTCGCCAGCTGGTTCCTTATTAAACAAATTTTGTCGTTATTGCAATTTTAAGCGGCCAGGAATTTTTTTAGGCGGCAACTAAACAACTTATATGAAACAAAATTTAGAGACATGGTCACTGGTGACTCTAATTCTCTGCCTCTCAATAAAAAATGTTGAAATGTTTAGAGTCCAGTTATTAGATGATCACCGAGTCAACTTAAAAAAATCGGTCGCCAATTTTGCGACTCAAAAAGAAATTCCGTAGGAGCCTATCAGTTTTTCAAGGCCCCTTGTCAACTAAATCAGTCTTTTTTTCTTAAGGTACAACACTAGGATTCATCTAAAATTTCGTAAAATTATTCATATTTTTTTAAAATTTATTAGTGAAAATGTTTGAAAATTACAAATGGGAATAAAGACACTTGATGAAGTTTAAAAAAAATAGTTTAAATATCTATGTTAGAAACTTTATGACAGTTATCATAGATAGAAACTGATTTGAAATAAATTACGGATATTTGAAAATGCAGGGGAGACGTTT